CCCTCGACACGAGATAAGAGGGCTCTCCTCTCGTTTCGTTTCGAAGTGACTTTTCAAGAGAAAATTCTTCTGTCGTCTCGTGGCAAAAGCACATCCACCTGATGTGCGAAACGCTAGCCACCAGAACTACAGAATCTGACGTTGGTGAAAAAACCATACAAATCACCACAACTTGAAGATTCCACAAGGAGGGGTACTCTCACCTTTGATGTGAAGTCTAGTAGTTGATGATCTCCTAAATACTGATCAGCACTTCACCTGTTTTGGTCGCCGCTGATATCGTCATCATGGCCAGAGGCAAATACGAAGGAATAGTCTGCGACATTATAGAAAAAGCACTTCGAACCACGAAGGAATGATGTCAGACAGTGGGGCTGAATCTAAACTCAACAAAAACCACACTAGAAAGATTTACCAAAAAATAAAAAAACAAACGAAACTCCCAATCGTGAGAAACATTCGCCTCAATGGAAGCAGACTTAACTGGAAACAAGAATTTACATTCCTAGATTCTAAACTTCTCTGGAACCGACATGAATAGAACACAAAAGCAGTCTCAGCACTTATGGTCTGCAAAAACTTTGCGGGTAAAACGTGGAGTTTTAACCCATCAATCCTACGATGGATATATACCATGATAGTGAGACTTATCATCACCTCGAAGTATAGCCGAACCCAACTAGTAACAGCAAGGGAAATCCTAGGAAAAGTGCAGACTCGCGTGTCTCTGTATAACAGGAGCAATGCAAACATGCCCAATCGCGTCACTAGGAGTCATCATAGACCTCACCTAATAGTGAAGCGGGTTTTCAGTGGATCATGTCTCAGACTGGCGGAGATAGGTTTACAAGGAAAAACGCACTTTGGCAGAACTTTTCCTCTCCCAAACTGTGCACATCTCATGGATCTACTGAAAGACGTAATTGCTGATAAATTCAGTTTCGAGAAAAACTTTTCCATCGAATTAAGTACAAAAAACAGATGGAACATAAAATCTATCCAATCTCTCAAAGCAAACACCATCGAATGGTACATAGACAGTTCCAAAACTGCTGCGGGAACTGGAGTCGGATTATTCGGGCCACGAATTAGATACTCGGAGCCATTGGAAAAATCACCAAGCATATTTCAAGCGATCGAAATCAAAAGAGGTGTGCAGTTTAACTCCGGTCATCAATTCTGAGATAGAATGGGAACGTCTACAGAAAATCAATGAACTGGGAAGAGAAAACACACAAAACTCTGGGTGCTTGGACACATAGGGGTCGAGAGCAACGAATTAACACACAGACTCGCAAGAACGGGAGCGTCTACGCCCTCCACTAGGCCAGAACCATTTTGCGGTGTCAGAAATGCGCACCTCCAAAAACAACATTCTCCCTTGTGGCATCCGTCTTTGGTGGCCTCATATTTTTTGGCGGATATGGCAATTATCGTGCGCATTCCAGTTTTTGGTTATAGTTCATTGGCCAGGACTACGACAAGCCAAAGATCTATTGGGCAATTTCAATCAAAAAAGATCAGAACTGCTCGCCAACCTTAGCAAGAAAAGTCTCAAGAATCTAACCGGGTTTCTCTCGGGACATTGCAGCGTTGTGATCCTTCAGTGTTTTGCCTTGGTTAAAACTACTTTTGTTTTTGGTTTGAAACTTGTAGCTTTATTGGGTAATGGAATATAGAATGAAATTGAACTACAGCAAAAGTAAGACTTATTTTAGAGAGAGTTTTAACAAAATGTGTTACTACGACTGAAGCTGTCTTAAGACTGTCTTCTTGCTTCACTAGATCTCTTATAAATCGACCTTTACATCCCTTCTAAAACGTTTCTAAAACCTACATAATTACAACTGGAAAACCCTAAATAAATATTGGCAATAAATGACAGTCTGTTCGCCCAAAGAATGACCATTAAGGATATTTGGGAATTTTGGGGTTTATGGTGGACAAATGTTTAATTTATTTACATACAATATCTTTGGGTTCTTTAACAGAAAGTCTGGGTCATATAATAGTATTGCTTTCGGCGACGGCGAGACATTATTTGGGAAAGTATTCGAGGGTCGTAAAAGGTACAATGTCATGATATTATGGAGGAATATGACAGCAGACTTAAGAAACACCTACAGAAATTGGGGTTGGAAGAAAGTGGCACCTGCAGATTCTGTGAAGACGGAAAAGAGACATCTCACCATCTTCTACTGAATTGCGATTCTGTTAGTCGTTCAAGGATAAGGAACTTGGGCTGCGACTCTGTAATGGATAGATATCGTTATCCCCATCGCTATGGCACTCGCTGTCTTCTTTTCTCTGTTCGAAATGGAACCCGCTAGATATCCTAAAACTCTTGTAGGTTCTAGGACTGGAGGGGCTGCTTTGAACAGGAAACGCAAACTTCGTAGCAGAAGGAGGGGTACAATAGATCAACCTTGGTCGCAGTGCAACTGACACCTATGACTGACACCTCCAAAACATGCATACATACATTAAACGTTAAAATTCATCTTGCACTTTCTCTCTCGAAAAATTGACTCATCGTTAATTTATCAAGTTTACCATTTTCAAGTAAACCTTTACTAGTTCTAACAATAAGCTCGTAACTAATTTAACCAATATATTCTCCAAGGTCGAAGGAATGGCGTCTTCTATTCATCAAAACTTCTCTCGACACACAAAACGTGAACTCGAAAAACTTTTACAAACTAATCAACAGTGTCGAATTTGACTCTGTTGGACTGCGAAAGACACCCATTTAAAATTCTTTGCGGTCGCTTTTTTGCGCGCCATCTGTCTCCCTTGCGAAATTTACGACGGTACACGTGGTACGTCGCCTTGTAACTTGGCGGTACCGTGCGGCTCGGACACGACCCTAAAAATGTTAATCGGATTGAAGTTTTAGGTTTTTTTACATATCAAATTGGTTCCAGATTAGAGCTAATCAAGGATATTTTATCGAGCCCAATGGAAATAAGTAATACAATAACATGAGACATTTGGAATATAAAGAATTGTTTCTTTCATTTCATTCAACTAATAAATTAGTTGGGGTCAGTTACCATAATAAGATATTGCCAATTATACGTGAGGCATTTGTATAGCTGTTGACCACGCTAAACTATGAATTACCCATTCATTTGTCTCATTTAAAGAAGGTGAGGTGAGGAACTGTAGCCAATTAATAAGTCACTCGTGAAAGTAAATATCTCTGTGAAGTAGATATTTGTTCTATTCATAGAGAGAGTCAGAGATTAAGCAGCGAGGCCTCGCTTGGGTTAATTTATGGTAACTTTGATGTTACCTTTTCTTCGATTCATTTTTCATAGTTGATTGTTTCGGACAAGGAAGCTCTTGTATTTCCTGTTGTCCTCTTATTTTCAACTGGTTTGCTCCTTCTAAATTGTTTATCATTATAGCGTTCCTCGTCCTGGGGTCCTGGATGTGGTTGCTCGAAATAGTTCAATTGAAATGAAGTTGTATTGCTCTTGAGTTTATTTCTGAGGAGATCCTCACTCGAAGATGTATGCAATGGTGAAACTAATTGAACGGTATAAATGTTCTTTACTAAAGTAAAACAAGTGCTGAAACACCATCTTCAAGTGAGGGTTAGGAAAATTGAAATAGATGTTGTTTTGGTGTCAACCACAGAAACAGGAAGTGTGTGAGTTGTGGACAAAGTAGACAAGACTGACAAGTACCCTAAATAAAATTTCTTATGATGCCAACAAGTGTATAATTTTAAACCATATAGTTATAACAATAAGCTCCAACCATAAATCACATTCCGTAACTTGAATTACCTAAAACGAGTGACGTACTCTCATCCTATTTGTCGAAACTGAAATATAATTGCAACCTGCCGACTTGAGTACGTGTTTTATTAGCTACTTAAGGCCAATATAAATACCCCGAGAAATTCCATGGTGTAGTCCTTGTGTCACTATGCGTCGAGCCAATTAAAATCTTTGCGCTGCAAAAACGGCCTTATTCTGACTAAAAGCGCCTATAAAACCGCATGTTTGAGTTAATTCGAAACGCGCCATTAGTTATCAGGGGATCTATAGATATCCGTGTAGAAGTGACTGAGGTTTTTTTCTTTGATTTGTGCACCTAAACAGGTAGAGGAAGAGATTCTTTTTGATTTCTGGAAAATGATTAGCTCCAAACTTCTCTATGTTTGAAGCAAATTATATGTAATAACCAATTACCATATTGACTTTCAATCTTATTGCCATTATCCTCCTATTTATAGTCATTTTGAAAATGCACATTTATTAATTTGCAATCAGGCTCCCTTATAAGGAGAGCGTCTTGTAATGTTTTGATACCCGTCATCCTGTGACATTTTTCCACTAAACCGATATATGGCAACCATTTATATCTTGTCCCTTAATTAAGCCAACATCTCGTTTATAGTCGACAACGGTATTTTATAATTAAGAGATTTATTAAAATAATGATTTGTATAAGTAGCATTGAATATGACATGCTGATTTCTTCATCGATGGGTATTTGTATCCAAAACTTTTTATGATAATAATTGACTAACTTTTACACCAAGCTCAATTTATCATTAAGCGGTACCAGCAAGCACCAAATCATCCAAAGTAATGGTACAGCCTTAGGGCTCGTCTATATTAGTCGGCGTACCAACTGGTGGGTTTCAAGCGTTTTGTTTTAGTTTAGATTTAAATTGACCGCAAGGCTTTATACTCATTCTTTATTGCCACAACCATAAAATTGTAAAGTAAAAAACGTATAAAATCTAAAGTGTTTTTAGACTTTCGTGGGCGTCAACCTTTAAACAGTGTTAAAAAGTTTTGCGATTCCTTTTTACCCAAGGTGAAAGATATAAATCGTTCTCGAAGCATGTCCGTTTTGATCGCTAATCCATTACTCATTTTTTTGATTGGAGCGTTTACCATTTTATTTTATTTTTAATACCAACGAGCACCTGCTATACTGAATCTACAGCTTATAAAATCTATAACAAATCTTTTCTACAGGACATTGAGCAAAATTATGCCTCCGACAACCATAAATCAACCCCTTAAAAGGGAAAATGCCTCAACGGCTAACGTGTTGATGTGCAAACAATGGTGGAAAGTTTGCTGGATGTACGGCGACCAAGAAAAATATTACAGGCAGCTTTATGGAAAACCGAAAACTACTTTGGAGGGAGACAAAGCCTTATTCGAACCAAAAACAATCCCTAAACCCGATTGGGCGGTCCAGTACTATCAAAACACTAGAATCCTTGCAGATACACCGTCTCCGTTACCCAATAGTAGTAGTAGTAATATTCCCAATGTAGTGCCGAGGCATAATAGTTTAAACACTGTGGGAGTGCCTTTAAGCAGTAGTGTTCATAATAGTGCTAGTGTTAAGGAAGGTTGTGAGTTAAACAGGAGTTTTAGTTTCGAGGAAGTTAGACGTCATCACGGGTCGCCTGCGTTGACCAGTTTGGATCTGACTAAAGGAATTATTGATGAGTAAGTGATTTATTTTTGAATTTTTAATGAAGGCTTGTTTCGCGAAGCAAAGAAATCATGAATGCGAATAATCGCTAGTCTAAATGAATGGTAGCTGATTAGAGTTGGAATTAACTATGTTAACAAGCTTAATATTTTTGCGTATGTAATGTTCCGAACGAAATTACCTGATATCACTTATGTCTTGCTTCAACAACCAGAGGATGACTTGTTGAGTGGCGATTGAGCAAAACAACTTAAAATTGATGAATTGAAACGGTCATAATCTATAATCTGCCTAGCTATGCTTAGAGTCTCTTAGCTTGGGGTAGTTCTTAGCATCAGTACAGTTTAGAGAAGGCGCCACTAAATTATAGAAATCTATTTTAAAATTATGAAAAATAGTCAATCTAGACACTATTCAAAACTATTCTTGTTGTTAGCCAATTTGCATGTTCTCTGGTATAATTTCATGGTTATTTCTATTTTTTGTCTTACATTTTTTCAAACAGGATTGATAATTATATAGCATTTTTCAAACGCACTAATCCATAATAAATTCAATCAATATACCACACTTCAGTATAAAGTTCTTGCTGTTAATTAACTTGCCATCTATATCAATATTTCAGTCACTATTATCACAATTAAATTGAACATCAAGTTTTCGAGTCTCAGTTAACCATCACATCAATAAATTTGCAAATAGAAAAGAGTAATCCATCCCTTCCTATCGATGTGGGGTATCTCCTACTTATTGGAACAAAGCAAATTTAAATCCGCTATAAATTGCAATACATCGATGATTAATAGTCGAAAATCTATCATATCACAATGGCGCAGTTCTTATCCGAAGTTACTTAGAACGAAATTTTTGCCCATTATTCACCCATCGAAATGAGTTATTACTAGCTGAATATTGCCTCGATAATATTCTCTCAGCAGCGTCTATTATATCGACATTCCATAAATGTCTTCTATGGATTAGTATTCTTATGTAAATTTTCCTTGGCTTTTTTGTTTGCTGTTTAAGGATGGAGGAGAATATTTATTCAATAGCTTATTTAGTTTAGTTAAATAGCTCCTATCATCGTTGAATTTCGATCTTCATATTTTATTGGTTATCGCTCCTAAATTTGTTTATTATTCAAATCGATTTGAATTCGATGAAACCTCTATAATTTTGATTTGTAAGGAGACCTGTTCGTCTTTGCATCTAATAACATTTTTATAAATTTTCTCCTCTATTCTCATAACATGCCCATATACCATATGAGCTGTCGGGTGTCTATTCTTTCGATGGTTCTATATATTCTTACCTGTTCTTCTTCGAATTTCAGCGTTCTGTATATGTTCCAGTCTTGAAGCTCTACATGGTCGTCTGGAAAAGTCTGTTTCCACTGCATCTACCTTCCTTTTATTTCGTTCCGATAGCTGTCAGCATTCAATTCCATAAGTCAATATCGGCTCTACAATCCGGTGTTTGAGCTTTTTTTTATTGAGTAATATTAATCTACAGCCATTTTTAGGAGACCTGTGTTTTTTTATTTTGTCCAAATGTTATTACTAACTTCTAAAAAAAATTATTAAAATTCATGATTTGAATTTTAATGTAAGGAAGCTTGTGACGTCATCGACCGCGATAGGCGCAGTACCATACAATATCATGAGATAGTCCTTTGTAAAGTTCACTGTAGCATTTGGCATCTGTTCTGTCACTGTGATTCACGTCAAGGCAATATTATTATTGTTTGCATTACTCCATCCCTGTAGAAGGATACCTCGACTGCAGGAACTCTTATTTTTGATAACAAAAATAAGATCCTTCAGTTGCGCCATAAGTTGATGATTCTCTACAAACACCGCCGGCGGGCGGTGACGTCAGAATATTCCAACAAAGGGAGCATCAGAGCGAGATACCAGAGTAACACAAGGTGAAAAATGCGTTAACATCCTGAATTCTTTACCCTGGAGTAGTCAGATTTCCATAAAAACAAAAAAGACAATCTACGGAGCAATCCGGTATTTTAGCACAGTTTTTATTCCCCACTGTTAATATTCGTCCTTGAGTTAGTGTAATCCAGGTTCTCTTCACAGCTAGCTATTACTACCTGAACGCCTGCAAAGAATAGTATGGACAAGAAATATTTTCCCATTTCTATTCCCACTTATTTCGCCGGTTCTTTAAGGCTTCGTGAATGTATATCTTGACAGTGTAGGTGATAAGCAGCAACCTTGCTTTAGGCCTATGGAAATTTCTTCCTACTTTCACTATACTTTGTAGGTGTTGCTAATGGCTCTTGTGTATTCTTTAGTGAGGTAAGTCTTTGTCAAAACTTCGATAAGTTTTCTCAAGGGCCCTGTATCGTAGGCCTTCTCGAGGTCTACGAATATTGGGTCTGTGTGGGCAGATTTCGAGCTTTCTTTTTTTCTATGATTTCTTGTACTTAATGTGAAAGTGTCATCCATGCATGAAAGTCCCGCACGAAAGCCATTCTGCTCTTCTATATCTGAAAATTTCATTTCAATATTATTTTTTTTTAAATATGGCCGTACAACCTTCCCAAAGAATTAGTCACACTTATGTCTGTAGTTTCCACAAGTTTTTCGATCTCCTTTCTTGTGGATGGAACTTATGTGTGAGATATTCCAGTCTGCAGGTACCTGCTAGAATTTCTATCACTATCTCTGGAGCACTTTTGACTAGCTCGATAGGAATGTTTCCTGGCCTCAGAGTTCTTCTATTTTTCATATCTTATCCGTTTGTTCTATCCTCTTTCGCCGTTATGGTTTACACATGATTTACTTCATCTTCTCCAATCTCCTCAATCTGTCCCTCGAATTATTCTCTCTCCTCTGGCAGCAGCTTCTTGTACCGGTCAGTCCATTCTTCCATAGATATTATCTGGACATTCACTGCGTCTTATCTACGTTTTCTCACGTTCTTCATAACTTTCCATGCATGATGCTGCCACCCTGGTACCTCCCAAATATCTTTCTATCTCTCTCATATTTCGTTTTTCTGCCTTGCCACCTAGTTTTTTCTATCAGTTGTCTATAGTAGGATGTCCCACCGAAAACTGTCAATGGCCAATATCTTGAAAACGGTGATCGATTTAAAAAAAAATGAAAAACCCGTTTGGAAGGTTGTAAGGGGGAACCAAAATGAGGTACTTTTCAGGTCTTCCTGAATCACCCCTCCGGCCGTAGCTACCCTAACCTCAAAATCTTAAACGGCGCTATGGGTCATTGCAAATCTGCAAAAAAAATTATCTAGATACAAATTTAAATTGTCACAAAATGGCGCATGCTTCGAGTGAACAACTTTGCTCAATGAGGAAGTGAACACTCTCAGGTACAGTAAGGGGAAAGGGGTTCAAAAAAATAAAATCTTGATGATTTCTTCAAAAATATTCATGCTGTTATTCAATTTGTATAAAGTCAATTTTAAATCACATTTACCTATTCCACCCGATCAAATGAGGTTTTCATCAAAATGAGAGTCACATTCAAATCTGGATAATTTTTCTTTGCAGATCCATTAAGAGAATTAGAAGACCTTTAAAACAAGATATCACGTGACCCATAGTGCCATTTAAAATTTTGAGGTTAGAGTAGCTACGGCCGGAGGGATGATTCCGGGAAACCTGAAAAGTACTTTATTTTGGTTCCCCCTTCCAACCCTCTAAAAAGTTTTTTCATTTTTTTTTTATCGATTACCGTTTTCAAGATATAGGCCATTGACAGTTTTCGGTGGAACACCCGGTATATTCTTCCATCTTCTGGATTTTCTGAATTTAACCCCTTCTGATGAGCTACCTTTTTGGTTTTTGTTAGCCTTTCTAGGTCTTCTGACCACCATTCAGGATTGTGTTTGATTATTTTGTTTTCACTCATCTTTAAAGCTATCGAGATTATATTTTACTGTCTCTAATTTAGATAATACAGGGTGTCCCACGACATTTTTCCCAGGTAATAACTTCGGAATGCGTCATCCAATATAATTGAAATTTTGAGGACTTGGGTAACTTTTTGTGCCGCTCCTACCATTGTCATCCAATAGAACTGTCTCGTATAAATAGAAAAAGAGAGCTTGATTGTAATAAATGCAAGTTAGAAAGTAATGAAAGATGACATGCGCGCGCAACTCGTAGGTGCAGTGTAGCCAGATTGTATTGTTGCAGAACAAATGTAGACAATACAAATCGAACATTATAACATTAAAGAAATGATATAGTGTCAAGTATTTCACAATTCCTTAAATCAGACAAAAGAAGCGCTTGAAAAGTGTATATTAACATCGTTTGCACTTTTATTTTGATAAATGTTTTATCCGGCAACATCGTACAATAAAATTGCAAAGGAATATGTCAAGTATAATCTAACATAACCTTAAACGACACTGCGGTGAGTTCAAGTAATATGTAAAGTATTAATTTGCTCTTTGTCGAATTACACGTTACAAAGAAAGAAGGAACGATTTATTCTGAACTGGCCCCTGAATAAGAATATGACGTAAGCCTGTAACTAACCTGCTTTTTATTGGACACTCACCTGCAGCCTACAAGCGACGCGCGCAGTCCAGGTGATAGGAGATCGGTCTATTTCACCATGAAATATTATGTAGAAAAAGAAATAATACAGCAACGCTCTCCACTTAATTATGTTTAATAGAAGTTTAATGAAAAATTAAAAAATCCAGGATGTCAATTTAATGAGATTCATAAATGTAAGAATAATTTGATTCCAACCTAGTACTACACTCAATTAAATATTATTGTGTTAAATAATAATAATGATCGATCATTTTATTTAAATTGTGACCCTTTCTACTGGTCTATCTGCCCTTTAAACTCAAATGCTCAACCGGACAGCGAACTGAACAAAGTAATGAGTCATTCCATTTATTAGGTAATACTCAATAAAAATATAAAATGATCTCGTTGGGTCTATCTGCTCTGAAAATTCATATGCTCAACCGAACAGTGAACTGAACATAGAAATGAGATATTCCAACTAGG